TTTTAAAACAGAAAAGACAGAAAAAGGAGTCATCTCACCCTGCAGCCAAAAGGACTGCAATCCAGCCAGCAGACGACAAGGGATGCCCTGTGCACGGCCATCCCCGGGGGATTTCAGAGGCATCACCAACCAGGGGAAGGGGGCTTCCCTGCGACGTCCCTCCCTTTCACACAGTTTGCACCCTATGGTCATCAATGAGCCCTTCCAAATATAAGGGAATTTACACCATAGTCCTCCTGCTTCCTCAGAGAACGTGGTCGCTCGCAGTAAAAGGCTCATCACACTCTTTCTTCACAGTTCTGGACCTCTGATCTCTCTTCTGATGCCATCCCCATTCTGTCTTCTATCCCTGCACATCCAACTAATGTCAAACTTTAAAAATTATGCGTAGTAAACGGCCAGCAATGGGGGGCACCTGGGGGAGGACGAATTGAGACCATCCAGGTACACACCAGAGTGAACTCCTCAAAATTCCAGAAACTCTTCCTAAGAGAAAAAGATTATGCATCCATCATTTTCTTCTTGCCCCAAATGTAGACACTTACAATATTTGTTTGTCTGGTGGATAAAACTGAAAGTTACACTAATATTGGAAACCTAGATCTGGGCATATCAGAGAAATTTGTTTTTAAAGGGACATTGCCAAGGACTTTGAATCCAGCACTTGACCTGTATTTCATATTACTCTGATCTAGTCGGGGATGCCTTCTGGGTTCTAAATAATTGGAAAATGTCTGGCACAGCCAGAAAATAAAGCCCAGCTCTCCTTTTATGAGATTTACAGCAGACTGTCAACACCATCTGATAAATGAATCTCCTTGAAATCGGCAGAGCTGTAGAGATATGAGCAGGAAAGCTGATGTACAAACCAGCAAGAAGAAGAAAAGAATAAGAAAAACTGATTTTACTCCGTTTAATGCCTAATCAAGGGAAATGCAAAATTTGCCCAGCTAAGGAGAAAGAGAAATACGAGGTATAGTTTTCTCAAGTTTTGTTTAGAAGCAAAAGGATCCCTCCATTACACTCCAGCCCGGGCCGCAGAGTAAGACTCTCTCTCTATATATATACATATATATACATATATAGATATAGATACTTGCATATATATATGGAAATATTATTGTCATGCATTAGCTCTCTCTTTTAAAACATCCAAAGACAACCTGAAATTAACAAAGCAGGAGGACCTGGGTGAGGTTGAGCCCATTCCAGAAAAAACAGTTGGCAGCAGTAAGAGTGGTGTTTACTAGAAAACTAACCTACTTCCAGCAGACAGTAGACAATGCGACTGATATTAAACAAAATGCGTGGATGTGTTTGCCTTGATGTTGGAAGGGTGGAGCTGCATCTGTTTTCCTATTATGTAAAACCCCTGCCCCACTCCTGCCAAAACATTCTCCCGGTGACACGCCTGCCCGCCTCTGGATGCGTTCCTCACTAAAACAAATACGCCTAACACATCACCTTTAATAGCAAATGCTCACAAAGGCAAACAATGAAAACTCCCAGGGTGCGTTTCTTAGGATGGCACCGGGCGCCATGCAGAATTGCCACACACAAAAGCAAAACAGTGCTACTGGCTGACTGGGCCAGGCCCCAGATGTCAGCAACTTTTAGTAACTTGCTCTTTCTCGGCAAGTAACTAATCTCCCCCGCCTGGGCAGCCCGCAGTCCTTGCCTAGGAAGTCGCCCTGTGTGTAGATGTTGTCTGTCTGAGGACAGTAATAACTACTCAAGCAAACCATGCTTGTAAGCGCACAATCTCACGAATAAAAGGAGAGTGTCTCGTGGACGATACTGGCACCCTATAAAAGTCCAATTCAACCTTATCTAATCTGGTGCGTGCTTCGTCACAGGGATATTCAATAATGGAAGTTTTGTGCTCAAGGAAGAAGGAAAGGCTCTCACACGGGAGAGGTGGCGGGGTCTGCGACCTGGCTCGGACTTTCTGCCGAGTTCTCAGTGAGGACTTGGCGGTCCTGGGGCCAGTAGGTGAGAAAATGATGGATGGGCCGGGTGGGCGACGGCAGGAACGGCCCGGAGAAGGCTTCCTCTTACCATCTGCTCAGGAAGGACGTCAGCGCCAGACTAAACACAGGCCGGCGCGGCTGCAGAGTTCGAGCTTGTGCCCGGCGGCCGGCCTTTAAAAGCACCTTCCTGCGCACGAGGGGGAGACACCGGGAGACCAGGCGCCCCGACCCATCAGCAGGTCTTGAGGAGAAGCAGGGCCGCCCCAGACTGTCGCTGCGGCCGGCAGGGCCGGGCGCTCCCCAGGGGTCTGGGCCGCGGTGCCCCGTGCCCCACTCCGCCAGGACTGGGCTTCCCCGGCTTCTGCAGGGAAGAGGGCACAGAGAGGCCCTGGGCACCCCTGTGATGGGCCGGACCCCAGGAGAGTAGAGCCCCTGCTGCCCCGCGCACCCCTTGGTGGCCAAACACCTCCGGAGACTGAGGTCTTGGGCCTCCTCTGGCTCTGCGTCCGGGATTCTCTCTCCCCCGCAAGGTTGGTCTTTGGGTCAATCGTCCAGACCCAAGCCAAGCTTGTGTTGGGCAAGGGAGGAATTCCTGGAAAAGGAAAAAGGTCCTGCCACCCTCCGCCCTTCATTCATCTTCCCTGCCACCCACTCTCCCCTTTTCCCTGCTTCGACCCCAATCCTGACCCTCAAGGCCCACCTGGCCAAAGACAACAGCTGCATCAGCCGCTAGGCCTTGGTGGGACTGAAGGCGGAGGTGCCTGGGCATTTGCTGGGGGCAGGCCGCACTAGACTACAAGTCCTGGGTAGGAGCCCTCCTGATCTTGGGCCAGCTCTCTTCTGAGAGCCTCAGTTTCCCTCTCTATGATTCCAAGGGCTTGACTTTGGTGACTTCTGGACAGTCCCCCATGGTGTCCTGGAGGTGAGCTACAACCTGAAGCCCACCTCCTGCTGCCTGTCCCTCCTCCAGCCTCCTCTGGCTGACTTCTGCCATGGGTCCGAGAGGAAGTGTTCCTGCTTCCTCAGTGTCCTGAGGCTCCTGGCCTGCCTGCCTGCCCATCTGTCTGGAGCTGTGGGTAAGGGCGGGCCTACCATTGAGGCAGGGGCAGAAAAGAGCTTCTCTGCTTTATTTGCTGTGTTTTCTGGAGAATCTTCCTTGGGGAAACTAAATGGAGAGGAAAGCAGGAGAGAAGCCACCAGATAGCATCCAGGAGGAGAGAAAAATGCATTCACCAGCAGGTCCTTTATTCACGTATACAGAATGTCTGTGTCCAAATATATACCACTTTTCTGTGCTTGCCCTTATACCAGTTTCTCCTCATAGCACTGGTGTGAGCATCTCTAGAATAGTATAGAAGTGTGCAGATGAACCAGACCAATGCAAGTCAGTATGTGTACACATATATAATAGATTCAAGGGTTGCTGTGGGTAAGCATCCTTCCCATGATAGTTAGTATTTAGTTTCATGGATGTCTGCAAAGGGTGTTCCGTTATACACCCAGCTGCTAGAAGAAGGCCAAACACGGAGCAGGCCTCTATGTGTTTGTTGATTACATGGATTAGTAAATGTATCATCGATCTGAAATGCACATTTTTCTGTTTACATTTTAGCAACTGAAACAGAGATGACATTTACCACTGATGATATTTAATAATTTAGTTTTTCCCCTCTTAGTGGCTGATAAGCACTGTACCTTATCATAAATGGCATCTTAGATCCCGCAAGCCCACGCAGAGTGCCATCGCGAGGGCTGTGTAACCTGGGGCAAGCTCTTTCTTCTCTTTAAGCTCAGTTTCCTCATGTATACGATATAGATCATAGTATCCATGTCAGCGTCCTTGTGAGGATTAGGTGACAGGAGTATTTATTTTTTTATTTTTATTTTTATTTTTTTTTTTGAGACGGAGTCTCGCTCTGTCGCCCAGGCTGGAGTGCAGTGGCTGGATCTCAGCTCACTGCAAGCTCCGCCTCCCGGGTTCGGGCCATTCTCCTGCCTCAGCCTCCTGAGTAGCTGGGACTACAGGCGCCCGCCACCTCGCCCGGCTAGTTTTTTGTATTTTTTAGTAGAGACGGGGTTTCACCGTGTTAGCCAGGATGGTCTCGATCTTCTGACCTAGTGATCCACCCGTCTCGGCCTCCCAAAGTGCTGGGATTACAGGCTTGAGCCACCGCGCCCGGCCGAAAGGAGTATTTAAAGCACGCAGCAGGATGACCGCATACTAAGTGTTCAGTGCATCTTACCTGTCCTTGTAATTGTGGTTGTTAGTGTCCGTGTTTAAGATTGGAGAAACATGGAATAAATCTGCCTCTCATTAGTGTGCACACTCCGCCCCAAACCCCTTTTTTTTGTTGGGGGGAGGTGCTGCTCCATCTAGTGAGTGGGGAGATTTTCTAATTCCCACTGGGGTCCTTGTGACCCCAAGCCAAAGCTAACCTTTAGCAAAAGTAAATTCTGCATTTCTCTGCTGCCTTCATTTATAGTCAACCCAGCTGGACTAAAAAGAACTACCAGGGCAACCATAACTAAACACTACAGAGCAAGTGCCTCCTTTCCTCGCACACATTTATTTCTGTGGAAATTCGCCTATTTGCCATAGTTTAAGACAAACTTATTTTTTCACTTCCAAACTAAACAGCGCTAATCCGAATGCATACCTCTCTGTGTGCCAGCGTTTAGCCTGTGTCTGTGTCTGCTGCGTATGTAAATACGGACAAGCCTCTCTGCGGGCAAAGCCATAGAGATGCATGGTCCTTGTTCCCATAGGTGACTTCGGGGTGCGTAATTGCACGTGGGAATGTGAGACCTAGTCAGTACCGCCACTCACTGGTCCTGTTCTCGAAACCGGTTCTTTGGAGGCTCAGTTTTTGGTAATTAAGACTAAGGAGTGCTTAAAAAACAGAAGTACATTTTCCTGGAAACCAGCAGTCTTTATTTGCAACTTTTATTGGCAAACCTGGCTGCCAGTAAATACATTCCTTGGCATCTCCCACAATGTAATTCACTTGATGGAGCGGCCTTGCTTTTTCTGTAACGTGTACATCAATTAAAAGGGCCGCCTGGAAGGAATGCGTAGTGGTGGCTGAAAGCTCCAGTCTCAGGTCACCTCCCTCCACTCCAGGAACAAAAGCATCTGTGGTCTGTGCCTGGCAGTCTGAGATGGTCTCCCCGATGGGGCTATTCCCGCCTGGACCCTGAGGGACGAGAGTTGCAGCCTAGGAAAACCAGGTGCCAGGCCCTGCGGGGTCCTACGCCGGCGGCGTGGTCTTCCCCAAGCCTCCTTCTCTAGAGACCGGGTTCCCAAGGGACGCTGTGGCGGGATGGATGGGCTGAGCCGGCCTTCGGGGCCCGGCGCGGGCAGAGGCGCCGCGGAGACTACGCCTCCGACGGCAGGGGGCGCTCGTAGCACGCGCAGTGCCCGGTGCGGGCGCCCGGGACGGCTGCCTGGCCCCGGGTTCCCCCGCGCGGGACCTGCCGGGGTCTGGTCCCCCAGCCTGAGAGCCCCCGTCTGGGTGGACCAAGCGGCCTCCGGGCGTCCACATCGTCCCTTCTTCTACCTACGCATGCGGGGAAGCGGCGGGGAGCCTGCGGAGGGCGGCCTGGGAGCAGAGACCACCCGGTCACCAGTGCACGCGTCCGGGCGCCCACCCACTCTCGAGGACCCGCAGTTCCCGGCGGCGTCGGCCCTCAGGCCCTCAGGGGAGGCCAGCGGCACCGAGCCAGGTACCGGCCTTGTCCCTGCCCTGAGAGGTGCAAACGCCGGCCCGGCCCAGGGCCCTGGGGCTGCTGCCCAAAGGTTCAGAGTGGGGGGCGGGGGGCCGAGCGCGCCTTACCCGCAGCAGGCCCGGCGGTGCGTCCGCGTGGTGCTACGCCCCGACCCGGGTGAGGGACTTCGGAAGGAAGGTCCCAGGGCGCAGGGCTCTGCCAAGGGAGCCCTCGGAAGGAAGGCTGGCGGCAGCCCGGGCGCCTGGGTCCGCTGCGGCGCGGGGCCGGAGAGCCGGGAACAGCCCGCCACCTGCAAGGTTGCAGCCCACCTCACCACGCCGGCGGCTCCGGAGCTGTCTGTGGGTCTGTCTCACGGAGCAAAGCCCTGTCTTCCGACACCCGTAGCCAAGGCGCGTCCATGCAGGCGCACACGCCTTCCGCTCCAGCCCCAGGAAGGCGCTTTCGCCCTGCAGTCCTCCGACGGCCGGCGCCCGCCGCACCCTGCGCCGCGCACCCTGGCTCTGGCAGATTCTGGGACCTGGGGACTCGCCCGCCCTGCGCGGCCCCCCCCGCCCACTCCGCCCCACAGGAGCCCAGGTTGGGAGGCTGCGGGGCCTCTGCCCTCCCAGGCCGTGGAGTGCGGCGGCCGCTCTGGGTCCGCTGGGGACCTGGATGGGGAGAAACTGGAGCTCGTGCGTGCACACACGCACCATTTGTTCTTTCCGATCATCTATCCCTTTACAAATTTTATTTTTATTCCGGATTGTTAATGCAAGGTGACAGTTTGAATCTCCATTTACCTCTGCCTGAACACAGGCAGCCCTGCGTCTTTTGAAGCCGGGCACCAAAGTTAAAGATTCACTTCCCGCATTCCCTACGGCCCCTTCTTGCAGCTTAGCTCGGCTCTGAGCCCCCGAAACGCCCTTCGAGGCGGGGGCTTTTCTGCAAAGGGGCGACAGGTGGGCCATCCCGAGGCGGGAAAGAGCAGGTGTTGGCTGACTTTCTCCTGGGTGAGTAAATAGGGGAACCGCCCATCTAGGGGAGTTAGGAGATGACATTAAATTATCCCGTCACACAAACTTCCCGTGGAGGTCTGCCCCTAGGAGGGCAACTATCGGATTAATCCAATCATGTAGACAGGCAATATGGATCACTTTGTCTTTAAAACAATCGAAAACCAAACGCTCTTTTCGTTTATTGTAGAAGTTATTTTTCTACTAGGGAGGGGGCTGAATTGGAGGGACTGTGCTGACTGTGCTAACAAAACCTCTACTTGAAAATCCCCTAGCTAAGGAGTATCTACCCAAGGTCGCGGCCACACAGATGTTCGGTCCCCACTCCTTCCTCCGCTGAAAAGTCGCACCGATGACAAACGTTGCCTGCCGGCCTGGTGGTTTGAAAACGAATACCGGGCATTGATACCAGGATATCCTCCCCTACCCTTGGGCTTCTGGTCTAAGCAAAGGAGGCCAAGTGGAGAACTCAGACAATTATCTAAGTAGTCTAAATAGCTCAAAGACACCCCCAAGCGGACCTTGCTCCAGTGGTCTGTGATGGCAGCCCAGTGGGCAGTTTTCTAGTGGCCTTCTGAGGTTAATTGCCTTAATCTTCCACTTTGTCTCCCTCAGCAAAGGGAAAGATGCTGAGGCAGCTGTGGACTTGCAGCCTCCCTCCTGTGTGTGCAGAGCCCCCAGGAATCACTGACCCGAGTGGAGCAGGAGAAGCGCTTTCCATCACTTTCTAAGCCTGCCTTTTCTGTTGTCCCCCAGGTCCTGGGCCAGGTGGAGCTCCCCCTGAAGCTGGTATCCTACCTGCCCTCGCCTCCCCACTCCAGCCCACAGTCCAGCTTTCAGGGCTGAACCCAGAGCCCAGAGGATGGAGAAGCCAGAAAGCGGGGAGGTAAGGGAGAGGGCGTCTAGGCACACCTCAGAGGTGACTGGGCTGTGTCGGGGACAATCCGCACTATAAGAGCCGAGCTCACACCCGGAGCTCACACCCCTACGGAGTGATTTTTCGGGACTGCCCCCATCCCGATCTCCACTCCCTCTACTTTACTTGAAAAAGAAAAAGAAAGAGAGCGCCTTCTGGCTCCTGGTGACCCGTATTTAGGACACCATCCCATCCCCCAGCACACACATTCCTACAGTGTCACCTGGTCCCCAGTCCGAGCATTTCCTGGAGTGCTCGCCACATTCCCCTTCCTGGTGCTTTTCTATGGTGGGGCCAGGGGAGACTTTGTTTTGAACATCGCTGTGACGTCACTCCCCCTCCTCCGAGCTGAGCACTCCTCGGTGGGTCCTGGGAATTGTTGCCCGGCCTGCTGGGGAGGGGCGGAGTGTGGGCCGAGGGAGGGTTCCACCAAACATCCATTACCGCTGTCGCCTGCGGGGCCTTCAGGCTGCAAGTACGTGAGGTGTCAGAAAAGAAGCCGAAGGGTTCCTGTGGGGGCTCTTTTGCCAAATGAGTCAAGAGATGTGCGGAAGAGGATGATTGAAGCACCCCCTGGAGTAGCAGAAAGGGGCATCAAAAACTGTAACCTGAAAATAAAAACTTTAACCTGTTCCCCCAAAGACTTCATGTGTGCGTGTTAATGTTCAAATAACACCACTAACAACAAAAATGAAATAAGTGCTTGAAATACAATCAAGTCGCTTACTGGAGGCTTGCTTCCGAGTAAGTTTATAAAACACAAATGCAAATATCTTTTCTTGGCGAATATGCAGAGCTAAACCAGTGGAAAGTTGATCTTGATAAAACCACATCTCTCCATTTTTTTTCGCATGCCAGATACTAATTTCACAACGGCAACTTTTATACCCAAAACAGAGAGCTGAGAACACCGCTGCAGTTCGATTTGCAATTTACATAACAAGCTGTTTACACTTCACTGGGCCGATGGAGGGAGGAGGCAGGGAAGAGCAGGAGGCGACAGGCTGGTGGGGGAGGGGGCGGCGGGGCACAATTGCCTGTTGCAAAACTCGGGGCCGAAGGCGTTTCCCGCATTCGGAAAACAAAGCATCCGTAATCGCTGCGTTCATCTCCGCGCACCGCTAGCAGTGCAAAAAGCAGCTTAAAGACCGAATTCACCACTTGTTGAGGTGTTCAAGGAGACCACTTAAATCTCCTCCAGGCTGAAGCCAGAGCACTGCTTAAAGCCTCGACCAAGTGCGCTGATAAGACCTTCAGGGTGCCGGGCTGGGGGCTGAACACGAATTAAGTGTTCAAGTCGTGGGGCTTCACCACCACCCTCGCCCCTGTCTAGTGTCCTTGGCAACCAGCAAGTACTGAGCCTCCTGTTGGTGCTTCTCCAGCCCACCAGTGACTTGGCCTGCAAACCACCTGGAAAAGGAGCCTCCAGAGACCCCGGCGCACAGCAGGCCAGGAGGCAGCGGCCCCGGGATTCAGAGCAACCTCGGGGCAACCCTCCCTCCTCCAAAGGCTAATTCCAGAAGAGGCAGGTCCTCTTTTCTTCGATGTCAATGTCCATCATGAAACAGTACTTTTTAAATGTTCAGGTGACACGGAGATGCGCCTGCTACACGTCAGCATCCTTCACATGTAACAGCCGAAGCTGCAATTTGAATTTTCCTGCCAACGTGAGGAAGCCGGGATTCGAACAGGGGAGACAAAAGGGGCCCCGAACATGTCCTTGGAGTTAACAGATGGTCGGAAATCATGGGGAGCGGAGCTGTTAAATGCGTCACGCACGCTTCTTTGCAGTCTCCTGAACTCGCCACTTCCCCCAGCTTCTAGTGAACAACTTGGGATTCAGCCTCCGGGAGGGTCTCTCCTAAAGTCGCTAAAATGCAGAATCGCCGTGCCGGGGTCGCGGGGGAGGCCTGGCTCTTTCCCGGTCCTTCGTTTCTTTCCCTCGTTTCTCTTCTTCCTGTCCCATTCCAACCACCCAGCGACGGCAAATCTCAGGCCTGTGCACAAGAAGCGGGGGCCCTTCTGTGCGTATCCCCCCAGAATCCTTGAACCGCCCTCCAGGTGCGATCCTGTACGTTCTCCCAGACACACCCGTTATGTCTGCGAGCCGGCAGCCCCGCGCATGTGGAGATGGAGACTGGCCTGGGGAAGCGTTAAGCTCTTAGACATATTTATTTGTTTCTTGTCATCACACCTGCTAATGTCGCCGAGCCCGCAGCCTGACCCCTCATCTCAGCCGAAATGCGCCTGACGCAATCAGAGGGGGCGGCGGCGCGGCGAGGCGGCGGGACCCTCGCGGGAGAGCAGGGGCGCGCGGGGAAGCAGCCGTGCTCCCGCAGCCCTTGCCGCCCGCACCCTCAGGCCGCCAAGGGCCCCCCGGGGAGGGGGGAGAGAAGCAGGGCGGCCCGCAGTGGGGCAGGCTCATGCTTCGCGGGTGAACGGCCGTCGGAAACTCCCAGCAGGGCCCCGCACCCCTTGCCTTAATTTCGACTGGGGAGGGGTCATGGAGGGGGGCCAGATGGGCAACGAGTCTTCTTCCCCACCGCGAACAGGGCCTGGCTGTGACCGAGCCCTCAAAATCATGTCCTTTGTAGCCGAGTTCAGGACAGGAGAACCTCCAAGTGGAGAAAAGCCGGAGACGTCAAAGACCCGAGTGAGACTGACGTTGGAGAAGGGAGGGAAGGGGCTGCGGGAGAGGAGAGGCGGCGGGGAGGAGAGGCCGGGGCGACCCCAGGGCTGGCGTCGGCGGGGCGGGCGAAGGAATGGAGCGAGCCAGCGCGAGGCGGGGCGGAGACGCCAGGGCCATTCGGGAGCGGTGGACGGAGGTAGGGTCTGCACGGGGCCCGGGAGGACCCAGGAAGTCTGCGCGAAGAGCGGGCGTGGGTCCGCAGGGCCCGGGGTGGGAGGTCTGCCGGGCGCCGGCGGCGGGCAGGTGGACTGCGGGGGGCGAACCGACGGCGGGCCGGGCGCCGGCGCGGGCGCAGGGCCGGGGCCCGGGCCAGGGCGGCCGGCGCGCGTGTGGTCAGCCCCGCGGTCCTCCGGCCTCCGGGAGCGGGCAGGCAGGGCTCGGCCTCCGGCTCATTCAGAGGCGGTTCTCACCTCCCATTGGCTGCCGCCGCTGGCGGGGCGGGGCCCCGCTGCCCGGAAAAAAGTGTAACTGCGTAAAAAAGTCCTCGCCTGGGTGACGGATGCTCAAAAGTTCAGAAGTTTTCCCAATGCTTCCTTAAGCGGTTGGCGCGCGAGAGACCGAGAAAAGGTGACGCGGGGCCCGGGCAGGCGGCCGGCGCGCGGCCCCCCCCGCCCTGGTTATTTGGCCGCCTTCGCCGGCAGCTCGGGGCAGAGTCTCCTGGAAGGCGCAGGCAGTGTGGCGAGAAGGGCGCCTGCTTGTTCTTTCTTTTTGTCTGCTTTTCCCCGTTTGCGCCTGGAAGCTGCGCCGCGAGTTCCTGCAAGGCGGTCTGCCGCGGCCCGGCCCGGCCTTCTCCCCTCGCAGCGACCCCGCCTCGCGGCCGCGCGGGCCCCGAGGTAGCCCGAGGCGCCGGAGGAGCCAGCCCCAGCGAGCGCCGGGAGAGGCGGCAGCGCAGCCGGACGCACAGCGCAGCGGGCCGGCACCAGCTCGGCCGGGCCCGGACTCGGACTCGGCGGCCGGCGCGGCGCGGCCCGGCCCGAGCGAGGGTGGGGGGCGGCGGGCGGCGCGGGGCGGCGGCGAGCGGGGGCCATGCAGGCGCGCTACTCGGTGTCCAGCCCCAACTCCCTGGGAGTGGTGCCCTACCTCGGCGGCGAGCAGAGCTACTACCGCGCGGCGGCCGCGGCGGCCGGGGGCGGCTACACCGCCATGCCGGCCCCCATGAGCGTGTACTCGCACCCTGCGCACGCCGAGCAGTACCCGGGCGGCATGGCCCGCGCCTACGGGCCCTACACGCCACAGCCGCAGCCCAAGGACATGGTGAAGCCGCCCTATAGCTACATCGCGCTCATCACCATGGCCATCCAGAACGCCCCGGACAAGAAGATCACCCTGAACGGCATCTACCAGTTCATCATGGACCGCTTCCCCTTCTACCGGGACAACAAGCAGGGCTGGCAGAACAGCATCCGCCACAACCTCTCGCTCAACGAGTGCTTCGTCAAGGTGCCGCGCGACGACAAGAAGCCGGGCAAGGGCAGCTACTGGACGCTGGATCCGGACTCCTACAACATGTTCGAGAACGGCAGCTTCCTGCGGCGGCGGCGGCGCTTCAAGAAGAAGGACGCGGTGAAGGACAAGGAGGAGAAGGACAGGCTGCACCTCAAGGAGCCGCCCCCGCCCGGCCGCCAGCCCCCGCCCGCGCCGCCCGAGCAGGCCGACGGCAACGCGCCCGGCCCGCAGCCGCCGCCCGTGCGCATCCAGGACATCAAGACCGAGAACGGTACGTGCCCCTCGCCGCCCCAGCCCCTGTCCCCGGCCGCCGCCCTGGGCAGCGGCAGCGCCGCCACGGTGCCCAAGATCGAGAGCCCCGACAGCAGCAGCAGCAGCCTGTCCAGCGGGAGTAGCCCCCCGGGCAGCCTGCCTTCGGCGCGGCCGCTCAGCCTGGACGGTGCGGATTCCGCGCCGCCGCCGCCCGCGCCCTCCGCGCCTCCGCCGCCGCACCATAGCCAGGGCTTCAGCGTGGACAACATCATGACGTCGCTGCGGGGGTCGCCGCAGAGCGCGGCAGCGGAGCTCGGCTCCGGCCTTCTGGCCTCGGCTGCAGCGTCCTCGCGCGCAGGGATCGCACCCCCGCTGGCGCTCGGCGCCTACTCTCCGGGTCAGAGCTCCCTCTACAGCTCCCCCTGCAGCCAGAGCTCCAGCGCGGGCAGCTCGGGCGGCGGCGGCGGCGCGGGGGGCGCGGGGGCTGCGGGCGGCGCCGGGACCTACCACTGCAACCTGCAGGCCATGAGCCTGTACGCGGCCGGCGAGCGCGGGGGCCACTTGCAGGGCGCGCCCGGGGGCGCGGGCGGCTCGGCCGTGGACGACCCCCTGCCCGACTACTCTCTGCCTCCGGTCACCAGCAGCAGCTCGTCGTCCCTGAGTCACGGCGGCGGCGGCGGCGGGGGAGGCCAGGAGGCCGGCCACCACCCTGCGGCCCACCAGGGCCGCCTCACCTCGTGGTACCTGAACCAGGCAGGCGGAGACCTGGGCCACTTGGCGAGCGCGGCGGCGGCGGCGGCGGCCGCAGGCTACCCGGGCCAGCAGCAGAACTTCCACTCGGTGCGGGAGATGTTCGAGTCGCAGAGGATCGGCTTGAACAACTCTCCAGTGAACGGGAATAGTAGCTGTCAAATGGCCTTCCCTTCCAGCCAGTCTCTGTACCGCACGTCCGGAGCTTTCGTCTATGACTGTAGCAAGTTCTGACACCCTCTCAAAGCCGAACTGAATCGAACCCCAAAGCAGGAAAAGCCAAAGGAACCCATCAAGGCAAAATCGAAACTAAAAAAAAAATCCAATTAAAAAACAAAACAAAACAAAACCTTGAGAATATTCACCACACCAGCGAACAGAATATCCCTCCAAAAATTCAGCTCACCAGCACCAGCACGAAGAAAACTCTATTTTCTTAACAGATTAATTCAGAGCCACCTCCACTTTGCCTTATCTAAATAAACAAACCTGTAAACTGTTTTG